TTAGTCTTCCGTCCGAGTGTCTTAGGACCATACGTTCCCTGTGGAGGACTCCGAGCATGCAAGCTGCTCGGGATGTCCAGGACTTTGGTGATTTCTTTGGGGCTATGAACCGGGCATGGAATGCTTCCCTCTCGACTGTTTTCCCCCCTGACAGTCTCGATCTACCTTCGGCCATCGGTACTGTCCACACCAATCTCGCGGGGCCGAGTAGCGCGAAGGAGAAAGGAAAAGGAAAGGGTAAGGGTAAGGGCAAGTGAGCGGTACGTAGCTGTAATCCTATGTTGTATGCAGTACGTTCTACCTCCTAGCCCTCCGCAGTCGCCCTTCCTTCGGCTTAGTAGGGTGAAGTTCGTGGAACTTCGCCAATATGTCATCAGCTCCGTCGACGTTCTCTACTGGTTCCCATGATACCGAATCGTCTGTTCCTTCGTAACCTAACCATTCTACTAAGTACTCTAACTTTCCTGATCTTTTATTTACTCTAGAGTCCACAATGTCCTTTACTTCCCACGATTCTCCTACGTTATCTACTTCTACTGGGCCAGGTGGTTCAGCTTGCTGACCAGGGAATACTGGAGGATGATAGGGACGAAGCAATGAAACATGGAATACATCATGGATACCTGCCATCGTTCCTGGTAATTCCAATTTACAAGCATGAGAACCTACCTGCCGTACTACCTTGTACGGCCCACCTTGCTTCACATCTAACTTCTTCATTGGTCTTTTAGTCTTGATGTTCTCTAACGACAGCATTACTAGGTCACCTTCCACGAAGTTCGGCGTAGTCCGGTGTTTCCTATTGTATCCTTCGGCGTACTTCTCGTTAGCTCTCTCAATTCCCTCAATACATTCTTTATGTATTTCGGTTAGGTCTTTTACCACCACTGTAGCAGCAGGTACCTCGACCTCACTGGCCTTAATCTCTTCAGCCCACCGAGGGTGGTACCCGTAGTTCGCATAGAATGGGGTCTTGTTTATCGCTGAATGATGGGTGTTGTTGTAAGCAAAGCTAGCTCGAGCAAGCAGCTTCGACCAGTCGTTCTGCTGGTAGGAAGTGAAGATTCGAAGGTATAATTCGAGGGACTGGTTGGTTCGTTCGGTCTGTCCATCAGTCTGTGGATGATACGCGGTAGAAAGATGTAGTCTTATGCCGAGACTATCGGTCAAGTTCTTCCAAAACTTCGAGGTAAACTTCGATCCTCTGTCCGATACTATACTCTCTGGTAACCCATGCTGGGCCACCACATAGTCCATTATCAGCTCAGATAGTCCAGCTGCGGTTAACTTCGTCGTGGTTGGGATAAAAATGCCCCATTTGGTCAATCGGTCCACCACTACCAGGATGGAATTATATCCATGGGAATTCGGAAGCTCTTCGATGAAATCCATCGAGATGCTTGACCAGGGTTTAATAGCCACTTGCAATGGTTTGAGCTCTCCATGGGGTTTCTGTCTGTTAGTCTTTGCTCTCTGACATACTGCACAGCCAGCGATATAATCTTCGACATCCTTCCTTACTCCAACCCAAACGTAATCCCTCAGGACAAGCTCGAGGGTCTTCGCTGAGCCTGGGTGACCAGCTAGGGCCGAATCGTGTCGCATCTTCATGATCTTTAGCCGAGCCTCGGCGTAGTTCGGCACATAAGTGCGATCGTCGAACGTGAGGAAACCCCTTGAGTTCCATCCTCCCCGAAGTATTAGAGGGGATCGCGAACTACGGCGTAGTTCGGTGATTGATCCTGGTTCCTGTACGTCATCGTGACACGTTGGATGGGAACACTCAGCGCAAATGACTCCTAATAGCTCTTTTCTAACCTCCTCCACTTCTCCATCTTCCTGTACCCCAACAATCAGATCCATGGGATCAATAAGGTCATTCTCTCTTACTTCCTTTGTCCCTTGCAAAGCACGAAGTAGGTGTTGTAACCCAGAGCTAGTGCCGTCGAGTTCGTCGAACTTCGGCAACCCTTGAATAAGATTGCTCTCCTGCACCATAGTACTTCCTTTTCCAGAGTGGTAGTCTGCTCTTCTCGATAGTCCATCCGGCAGTGTAGCTTGTTTCCCAGGTCGATACACCATTTTAAACCTAAAGTTAGAAAGCTCCTCGACCCACCTGCCCTGCCTCGGGCTTAACTGCTTCGGTTCCATCCAGTATGTCAAGTTCAAGTGGTCCGTGAGAACTGTAGTCTCTACCTGTAATAGTAAGTGCCTCCTTCTTCTAAAAGCCTCAACGATAGCTAGTAGTTCCTTCTCGCCTACCGTATAGTTTAACTGCGCCGCTTGAAACGCTCCTGACTCGATCGCTACCGGATGTTCTTGTCCTAACTCGTTTACCTGCGATATTATGAAGCCCCACCCGAAGAACGACGCATCTGTCTGTAGTAATGTCTTCAACGAAGGATCAAAGTGAGCCAATACCGGGGCCCTACACATTCTATCCTTCAACTCTTTAAAAGCTCTTTCCTGCTCCATACCCCAGACAAACGGTACATCTTTTCTTGTGAGATCATTGATCGGTTTAGCAATCCTGGAGAAGTTGGGGACGAAGCGCCGATAATAACTAACGACTCCCATAAATCCTCTGCTCTCTCTTAGGTTCTTGGGACGGGGAAAAGATACAACAGCGTCGATGTACTCTGGATTACTAGAAACTCCCTCCCGTGAGACCACGAAACCCAAGAAGACTACCGAACCCTTTTCAAACTCGCACTTACTAGCCTTGACGAACAGATTCGACCTTCGAAGAACTTCGAACACCTTCGCCGTAGTTCCTCTCAATTCTTCCAACGTCTGACCATAGATGAGTATATCATCTATGTAGACAACCACTCCCTTCCCCAACAGTTCTCTGAAGCTTTCATTCAGAAAATGCTGGAATACAGCAGGAGCATTTCGCAGACCATCTCGAACAACAAGAGACTCGAACATACCGTACTGAGTCCTGAATGCCGTCAGGTGCTCGTGTCCTTCCTTTACCCGTAGGAGTTGATAAGCTCCAATCAGATCTAACTTGCTGAAGTACCTCGCTTTTCCTAGCTCTTCGGTTATCTGACCGATCAGAGGCAGTGGATAGGCATCGGGTATCGTTGCCTCGTTTAACTTTCGGTAGTCAATGACCATTCGCCATTGACCCTTTGCTTTCTTCGGTACCAAGAACATCGGTGATCCGTAGGGCGAATTACTGGGTCGGATTCTTCCGGCCGATATTTCGCGATCTAGGATGTCTCTCAGCGCACTTCTCTGATCTTCTCCGAGTGAGTAGAGTGGAGCAACCTTCAGGTTCGCCCCCTCCTTAAGCTCAAATTCCAGATCATACTCCCTTGAGGGAGGTAGTTCTTCACCTCCCTTCCTCGGGTTAAACACATCAATGAACGGATGATATTGTTCAGGAACCACCTGATACAATTCCCCCTGTTCCTCCGGACTCAGTTCATCCTGGTCATCTTTGTCTCGGAGATCTATCGCGTCCGTCGGAGTTGGCAGCCCTATGGCCGCTAACTTCGCCGCACTCGGTGGGGTTGGGATGGGGAACTTCATCGAGTTGTCTCTTCCATCTAGAACAACCCCTTCCTTCCTCATCCAATCCCACCCTATTACAACATCTGCATCGCAGAGTGTTGTTACATCTAGACGAACAGATCGCACTTCGGCGCCCTTCGTCAAACTAAAACCAACTTCGACAAACTCGGTGATAGGTCCAGCGACACTAACCGAGCCATCAAACATGTGAACGGGTACGCTCACCTGATATCGTCTCCTTCCTACACCTATCTTCGCCGCTGCTCTAGGGCTTATATACGAACATGTAGCCCCAGTGTCCCAGAGCGTAGTTAGCCTAATTCCATTAATAAAGATGTCCGATTTAGGTTGATCCCTAGAAGTGGAAGAAATGAGTAGATGATTATCGACATTGCATGAACAGGGGGTACTGAGTGGTGTATTTTTGTAAGCACAATCCTCTGAATGGTCTCCTTATCCTTAGAC